GAACAACAAGAGAGTGAAAGAAAGAAAGGAGATAGAAATAAAGAGAGAGAGTCACACACATACACCACACACACACACAAGGAGGGAGAGAGAAAAAAAGAGAAAGGAGGAGGGGGTAGAGCGGGGGAGGGAGGGTAGGAGAAAGAGAGAGAGTCACAAATAGAGATAGAGAGTGTGTGAGAGAGAGAGAGAGAGAGGGAGGCGTAGAGCGGGGGAAGGAGGGTAGGAGAGAGAAAGAGAGAGAGGGAGAGAGAGAGTCACAGAGAAAGTGAGAGAGAGAGAGAGAGAGAGAGAGAGAGAGAGAGAGAGAGAGAGAGAGAGAGAGAGAGAGAGAGAGAGAGAGAGAGACAGAAATAAAAAAGAGACAGGGGAGGGGGAGCGAGGGAGAGGAGGTTGGGAGGAGGGAGGAAGGGAAAGCAAGAGGGAGAGTGTGTAAAAAAATGAGAGAGGGGAGAAATAGATAGTGAGAAAGCGAGAGAGAGGTTGGGGGGGGGGGAGAAATAGATAGAGATATGGAGTGAGAGAGTGTATCAGAAAGGGAGTGAGTGAGAGAGTGAAAGAAAGAAAAAAAGAGAATGACGAAATGAAAGAGAAATAAAGAGACAGAATATGATAAAGAGAAAGAGAGATAAAGAGAGAGAGAAAATAATAATAAAGAGAAAGAGGGAGAGAGAGATTGATAAAGAGAAAGAGAGAGAAAGGGAGGGGGAGATAAAGCGAACGAGATCGAGAGATAAACGAGACAGAGGGAGACATTAGTTAGACAGAGAGAGAGTGTGTGAGCCTGTGTGTGGGGGGGGGGGGGGGGTGCACAAGTATATATTAGGCGATGGGATATAAACACGTATGTATGATTTGTTTCGTTCATCTGGAAAGCACTTTATCTTGTGCTAAATCCTGATAATGGTTTGCGCTATCAAGATCCTACAAGCCATGACACTTCTATGCGGAGACGCATCCACACTCGAACAGCAGAGCAAGTAAACACACGTTTGCTTGTTTCAACTCAAGCAACTACAAGTTAAGTGGTTGAAGGAGGGAAATAAAATTTACTTCCTATAAGGCTGTTGTATAATGTTTGGTATCTTAAATGTTTCCATTCTGATTCTGAGGGAGTGGGTATACTATGTTGCGCTCTACTTTTCTTTGGCATATATATAATTTCTGTTCTCTCGTTTGCCAATTCATGTCTAATCACTGTGTGCGCGTATGTGTTTTATATATTATCTTGATGAGTTTATGAAATAATTTCTCGTTATATGAAATATATAAGATGCCGTTGACTTTGATGAGTATTTTTCATACACGAATTCCTGGAATTATTTGATAGCTTAAATGGCATTATAACTGCACATTTCTTTACAAATATAAACGTTTTCTTTCTATAAACATCTACGTATGACAGCTGAACGAAATTGAAATTTGCAAATTCACTGATTTGCAACTTTTCGTTATCCTACCTTAACTATCTAGAAGGAGCTAATAGAACAAATGAAGTGACTTAATTTTGTTTCCTCAGACACCGATTCAGAAGACTGTAAAAACTTGAATTTTCTTTATCACAGAACATTCACTTAATGCAAAATCACAGTAGGGATATAGTGAATATATATGTGCTTCATCATTGTGAGTGTGTGTGCGAGTCAAGGAAGTAAAGATGGCCATTTTCAATGCAGCTGTTTGTCATTACCGTTATTTGACTACTAGTTTGCGTACTGCAAGTTTAGGATTATTGGTCTTACATTTGGAACATTAGGAACCACGTTCAGCGCTAAATTATACAAATTGTATTTGATAACCGAAATACTTTTTCCTTGTATGAACTGACCAAATGGTAGAAAAGTTTTGAATATAATTAGTTGCATTTTCACTATTAAAGAAAATCAGTATTATGTAGAAAAGAGCAAATATTAGGAAAAATCATACCAACTAGAACAATTTCGTTTTTATTAAAATCTTGTCCAACCTCCATTATTTTCTATTACTAATCGTAGTCTTTCCGGGACAGAAGCGACATGCTTATAGATTAGTTCCGGTTTCCTCCGCATTACCTCCCATTCCCTCTTTGCATGCTGTATTAACTGTTGAGAGGTTCTTTCATTGGCCGTTTCCCAGACGTTAACAATATTTGCCCAGACATTTTCTATGGGGTTCAGGTCACATGCTTTGCTTGGCCAGGGTAAGACCTCCAGGTGGTTTTGGTCTCGGAACCATCTCGTAACTACCCTCGAAGTGTGTATGGGGCAGTTATCCTGCATTACAATGATTGTTTCTGGGAACGGCAAAGCATAGCTCCGTACCGACGGGAGAAACACTTCTTCCAACAATTCTATATATTTCTCGGAATTGAATCTTCCGTCTATTTCTGCAGGCTCGCCAACTCCATGCAGGAAGATCCACCCCCACATGTTGCATGTCACGTGTCGACTTCTCGCAGTTTCATAGATATTTTGTCTATCATATCTGGAAATTATAGGGAGATTAGAACATGAACATAACGACATACGGCAATAATCTGTAGTCTTATCTTTTCTATACATCATGATACAATAAAATGCAAGGTGAAAAAGGTTATATTTACATACCTTGTGTTATCTCTCCTCCAGCAATGAAGCTTCCCGTGCGCGGTGGAACAAAAAGTTTTTTCATCAGTCCAGATAACTCTTCCCCAGCAATCCAGATCTTTGTCGATATGCTGCTGGGCGAATTGGAGACGACCTTGGCGATGACGTTCGGTCAACCTCTCTTTTACAGCTGGTGTTCGGTGATGAATCCCATCTGCGTGCAATCGCTTTCTCACCGTGCGACTTGTTATTGGGAGCTGTAGTTCTTGGATTTTGACCGCATTGGTGAAGGGGTTCGCCTCCACCGTCTCCCGGATTTGAGCATCCTGGTCTGCGGTCGTTTTCCGTGGAGCACCGGAACGAGAGCGGTCATTCAGGGTACCCTCCTCCTCCCATCTCCTTATCCACCTGTAAACGACAGATCGTGAGATACCCAACTCTCTGGAAATTTCACTGGGAGAGAGACCACTTTCCCTCATCCCAATGATGCGGCCTCGAGTTGCAATTTTCGTTTGCTTTGCGTCCATCTTCAAAGGAGAGTCAGCTAAGCCAGAGTGTGCTGCATTTCACAGGCAACCCTGTTATTCCCTCGGATTTCCCAGACGTAACAGTTTTTTTTCCTTCTTTAAGTTGCCTCCTCTTTCTTTAAATTATCCTGTTAGTAGTTCTGGGTTAAGAAACAAGCTTTCAGCTTCCTGGATTTTTCGGACATTTCGAATGTCTGAAAATAGTTATTCCATTAACCTGTGAAGGGTATTATAAAAAGTTTGACTTTCTCAAATCTAAATATTATATATATATATATATATATATATATATATATATATATATATATATATATATATATATACACATCTGTATACCTATGCATATATTCTTGATAGAAATGAACTGAGAAACAAGAGAATAGAAAATACAAATATAACAGAAAAGTAGAGAACGAGATACATCAGCTAACAGGTCATGCAGTGAAGGAATGTGAAATATTGCGGAAAGACTGTGAGTAGTTATGGAAAATAAGGGGGATTGGAAAAAGTTTTATTAAAAACGAATTGTTCTGGTTAATATGATTTTCCCAATATTTGCCCTTTTCTAATACTGTTATTCTTTAAAAGTGAAAACGCAACCAATTATCCTCAAATTGGATGATCTTTCTACCAATTTTGTTAGTTCATACAAGGTATGAACTAACAATCAATCAGCATGAAAACATATAAAATGCCACATATCATAAATCCTTTATATATATATATATATAT